GATAAATGCTATATACTGAAGTTTAAGCTCTTTCACGTTGAATTAAAAAAATACCTAACACATTATAAATTTATATTAATGTATGTTAAACTTATTTTCATGGTAAATGGACATCGTCTCTAATATTTTAATGAATAATTTAATAAAATTTCCACCTAATTCAGTGGATTAATCCCTATAAAATCTGAAATTTATGGAGAAACATAGACAATAAAGTTTCAGATCTCTTTAATTTTTATCACATGTAATTGCATGATGAAGTTATATATTAAAACCCCATATTTTCTAATTTATCTGACAAAAAGATCAAGTTTTCTTCTAATAAATGTTATGTATACTAAAGTTTAGCTTCATTAATGGCTTTTTTTTTAAAAAAAAAATACCTAACCACTCTCTAATATATATTAATGTATGCTAAACATATTTTCATGGTACATGGATATCATTCCTAAATTTTCAACTAGTAATTTTTTAAACTTCATATACGACCTAATTAGTGTACTAACCTTTATAAAATCTCTATTTTCTAAAAAATGGGAACATTTAAGGTCTCAAAAACTTTTTAATCTTCATACTATGTCAGTACATGATGTACCTTTGCATTAAAATAAAAATTTCATATTTTCTAATTTATCTTTGAAATATGTGGATTAACCCCTACGAAAAGATTGAATTTCCAATAAACACTATATATATATATATACTATTTAACCTCTTTGGTCTTATTTAAAATACCTAACCACACTCCAAATTTATATATATGTATGCTAAACTTAATTTCATGGTACATGGACATCATTTCTAATTTTCCAATGTGTAATTTATTTAAACTTCATATACCACCTAATAAGTGAATCTCTACAAAAACTCTATTTTCTGGAGAAACGGAAATACCTAAGGTCGCAAACCTCTTTATTCTCCATACTATGTCAGTGAATGATGCAACATTCATTAAAAAAATACCATATTTTCTATTTTATCTTGAAAAATGTAGGTTAACCTGTACAAAAAATTGGGGTTTCCGATAAATTTTATTTATAAGCCCCTTTAGCTTCATTAATTTTTTTAATACCTAACCACATTCTAATGTATGCTAAAAATATTTTCATGGTACATAGACCTCAATTCTAATTTTCCAACGAGTTTTTTTAAAACAATTTCATATACGATATAATTAGTGTACTAACGCCTATTAAATCTATATTTCATAAAACAATGGGAACACTTAAGGTCTCAAAAACTATTTAATCTTCATACTTCGTACAAAATTTTCATATTTTCTAATTTGTTTTGAAATATGTGAGTTAACTCCTACGAAAAAATAGAATTTGCCAATAAATACTATCTATACTATTTAGCCTCTTTAGTTTTATTTAAAAATACCTAACCACACTCATAATTTATGTATATGTATGCTAAATTTATTTTTATAGTATATAGATATCCTTTCTAATTTTTCAATTAGTAATTTATTTAAACTTCAAATACCAACTAATAAGTGGATTACACCTCTAAAAACTCTATTTTCTGAGAAACAGAAACACCTAAGGTCTTAACCATTTTTATACTTCGTACTATGTTAGTGCATGATGAAAAATTCATTTAAAAAAAAGTATCATAATTCCTAATTTATCTTGAAATATATGGGTTAGCCCCTACAAAAATATCGAATTTTCCGTTAAATGTTATATATAAGCATCTTTAGTTTTGTTTAAAAATATCTAACCACATTCAAAATTTATATTAATGTACTAAACTTATATTCATGGTAAATTGGCAGCAGTTCTAATATTCAACCAAGAAATTTAATAAAACTCCATTTACCACAAAAATAATTGAACTAAACCCTATAAAATCTCTATTTTTTAGAGAAATTTGGAAAAATAAGATATCAAACTCTTTGATATTCATTATCAGTGCTGGATGCAAGTATGCATAAATAAAAAAAATTCTATATTTTCTACTTTATGTTGAAATCTATGGGTGAATCCCTACGAAAATATCGAGTTTAATATCTTTATTGTTGTTTAAAACATCTAACCATACTAAAAATTTATAATAATGTATACTAAATTTACTTCATGGTACATGGACATCAGTTAGAATTTCCCAACGAGTAATTTAATAAAACTTCATATATAACGTAAATCAAAGAACTAAACCCTGTGAAATCTTTATATTTTAGAGAAACTGAGACAACAAAAGTGTCAGAAATCTTTGATTTTGATCCTATAAATCTGTTGGATGCATATATGCATGAAAATAAAAGTACCATATTTTTTAATTTATCTTGAAATCTATGGGTTAACCCTACAAAAAGATCGAGTTTTCCGATAAATACTATATACTGAAGTTTGACTTCTTCCTTGTTGATTAAAAAAATACCTAATTACATTATACATTTATATTAATGTATGTTAAACTTATATTCATGGTACACATGCAACATGCAATGTTTAATATTTTAATATTCTAATGAGTAATTTAACAAAAATTTATATTCCACCTAATTCAGTGTACTAACCCTATAAAATCAGTAAGTTCTGGAGAAACGGGGACAAATAAGTTCTCAAACCTCTTTCATTCTCATCACATGTCAATGCATTATGAAGCTATGCATTAAAAATATATCACATTCTCTAATTTATCTTACGAAAATATCAATTTTTTTTCCAATAAATGGTATATATATACTAAAATTTAGTCTTATTAATGTTTTTTTTAAATCCCTAACCACACTTAAAATGTATACTAATGGATTTTAAACATACTTTCATGGTATATGGACATCATTTCTAATTTTCAAATGAGAATTTTTTTGAAACTTCATATACGACATAATTAGTGTATAACCCCCTATAAAATCTCTATTTTCTGAAGAAATGAGACACCTAAGGTCTCAAACTTCCTTAATCTTCATACTATGTCAGTGCATGATGCAGCTATGCATTGAAACAAAAATACCAATGTTTTTTAATTTGTCTTGAAGTATGTGGGTTAAGCCCTTCGAAAAGATTTAATTTTCCCATAAATATTATCTATACTATTTAGCCTCTTTAGTGCTGTTTAAAATTCCTAACCACACTCCAAATTTATATGTATGTATGCTAAACTTATTTTCATGGTACATGAACATCATTTCTAATTTTCCATTGAGTAATTTATTTAATTTTCATATACCACCTAATAAGTGGATTAACCCCTATAAAAAAAATATTTTCTGGAGAAAAGAGAACACATAATATCTCAGACCTCTTTATTCTCCATACTAGATTAGTAAATGATGCATCATTCACCTAAACAAAAGTTACCAGTTTTTCTAATTTATCTTGAAATAAATGCAACGAAAAGATCAAGTTTTTAGTAATGTTATATATAGGTCTCTTTAGTTTTTTTTTAAAAATACCTATCCACATTCAAAATTTATATTACTGTACTAAATTTATGTTCATGGTAAATGAGCATCAGTTCTAATTTCAACCAAAGAATTTAATAAAACTCCACATACCACCAAAATCAATGAACTAAACCCTATGATATCTCTATTTTCTTGAGAACGTTAGAAAAATAAGGTATCAAAACTCTTTGATATTCATCCTATAGATACAAAAATTTCATATTTTCTAATTTATCTTGAAATATGTAGGTTAATCCGTACGAAAATATCGAGTTTTTTCCGATAAATACTATTTGTACTTAATTTTTGGCCTCTTTATTGTTGTTTAAAATATCTAACCACATTAAAAATTTATATTAACTAGAGTCTCTGTCCGCGCTACGCGCGGAAAACACTTTTACATATTTTTTTGTAGTCAATTAATAGACCAAAAAAATATTTCTTGTATATTATTTATAAATTATGTATATGTTAAAAACAATTTAGTGAATTTAGAATTCATCAATCAAAAAATGTTTAAAACAGTAAAAAAATGTATATAGATTGAAATTTTTTTAAGTTACAGATTGTTGGTTTTTGAATGTGATATTAGTTTTCTATATAATATATGATTTTTGTTATAATTTTTTTAAGTTACATATTATTTTTCATTAACCTGTATATATGTTTGGATTAGTGATTGTTATGAAGTTAATTTTCTTTTACTCTTATATGCTTTCAAATTTTTTAAATTTATGGGTCGGTCATTTATTATGAAGAAACGTACAAAAATTACATGTCAGATATTTCAAGATTAAAACAGTTCTTTTTGTAGTTTTTCTTTGCATTTTATATTTTTTCTTTGTACCTCTAGAAAAGCAAGCCTATAACGTGCTATGTATTTATTTTTTTGTGGTTGAAATTTTCTATGATGTGTTAAAACAATTGTTTTTGAAATTAAAATAAGTAAAAAAATGATTTATAAAATTATCTAATAGTAATGTGTTTATTAGTGGTTAGAGACATAACATTTGATCGTAAATTTGGCCATAACATATATGATTGTATTTTGGGTGTATTTTCTTAATGAAATTATTGTGGTTTCTTGGGTGATTTGAATGAGCTTGTGAACGTACTAACTTCATCTTCCATATACCTCTATATCAGGTATATCTATATATTTTTAACACAATTTTATTATATATATATATATATATATTCATGTTTAATTCTATATTTTACAATTTTGATAAATATAATTAATTATTTATTTTCAAGGTTTGATAGATTTACTGTTTATTACTTTGTTTCAAGACTCGTTTTTTGGTTACAAAACAAACAGAATAAATAATATTCATAAGTGGTTATTTTGATGAATCCATTTTTAAATTTCAAAGACTAAATCCTTGCTAAAACAGTACCAAGCAAGAGTGATACCAAAACTCAAAAGAAAGACAGTATAAAATCTTCTGAACTTGATTAAAATGTAATGCAAAGATAGTTATTTTTTTCCAAAGAAACAAAAGTCTGAAAATGCAAATATAAAGATAGCAAAGTCAATGGAAAACAAATACTTAAACTGCAGTGAAAACTTCACTGCTAGAGAGGGTAACCAGGAGCTCTTCTAGCCACTTCTAACACGTTTAAAAGCTTCTGGTTCAACACTGTCGGTGGATCTTTTGTTACCCTCACCTGAAGAATCTCCAATGCTCATGGTAGGACCACATTCTTCACTTACTGGCTCCAATATTTCAGCAGGCTCTGGTGCATTGGCATTATCTTCTGGAACTTCTGGTGGGAGGATCTTTGTCACAGTAATGGATTGAATTAAGCCTTGGAGATTATGCTTTGAGACTTTCACAAGGAACTTATGTGTTTGTCCAATGGTGTCAGTTAGAGCTTGTGGAACCGGCATGGTTTCATCATCTCCAATGTTCTCATTTTCAACTAATATTGAAGAAAAACAGTTGGGAGTTAAAGAAATGTGTGCATATAGATTAACATGTATTTAATTACCTCAAAGTGGTTCGCCACTAATTGACTTCCGTGATGCCCAGTTAATTCAAACCCAGCATCACCAAGGATGACAAAAATTGCCTGGTCACTTTTATCATAGACAGAGATCTTGGTCAGATACCTGGCATGGAAGAAAATAAATTGTAAAAGCTGACAATATGCAGATGAAACTAACAATACAACACTTACTCTGGTACTCCGGCAATCTCAGCTTTCCCACACTTCTTACACATCAGAGACTTTGGTCCTTTGACTGCCTTAGTATGGCACACACCACAGGAAATATAATACCAAGCTGAGCCACTGACAACATCATCTATAGTTGTTGTGCACTCAAACCAAGCAACCTACAACAGTGTATTAAAAATTATCACAAGTACCCAAGAGTTTCATAATAAATTAGTAAAAATAGCAACTCTTGTACCTTTGCATTCTCCTGTTTGATGTAGGAGAATAATTCAGCTATAGTGACTGCCTCAGGCTTAGTCACAATCTCTGCATTAATCTCCCAAGTAATATCCGAGTTGGAGCCCAACCTGAAAAATGAGAAAGCCTTAATCATGTCAGCATTGGAGTTTGAAGAAAATATATCTGAAAACATAAATTCAGACCAGCTAAGATAATCTCTAGTTTGTTGGACATCGGTGTCCATAAAAACCCGTGAAGATGACATAGTAGTCAGAGCAAAGGTTCCTGATGTTTACACATGAATGAAGTATTAGTAATCAAATTCAGAAAACGATGAAAAACTCTATATATAACAAAAGGATAAAATTAAAACTGGATACGCTAACCTCCAATCCGTTTTGGGTTCAAGGTGGTGACTAAAATAGCACTTGGAGTCCTCCCATATGACTTGTACTTCTGGCAGAAATCTTCTGCAGCTTTGTCCCATATGTATAGTTTCATCGATGGTCCGCTACATGATATTTAAACTAAAATGTTAAGATAAACACACATACAAAATGTTGATATTAATGGGAAAACTAACCCATGTGTCTGCACATGAACCATCAGATGCCGCTTTTTTGCTATATCAACTTCGTCAAGGATGGGACAGTCGGTGAGAGGCTGCCCATTGACCAACTTCAGGTGTCCAAGGAAATCTGAGATAGAAAGAGTAGAGCTTGGTAAATATCAACGTTAATACTCTTTAAAAAATAACAAATGTATGTTAAGTTCGGTTAGTATCCAAGTTATAAAATAATAATAACTTCAAAAACGAATCTATACTATATTAAAACTTAACCCAAAGATTCACGACTGAAATCAGCAGTTGTTCACAGAGTAAAGACTGACCTAAATATTTAAGAGTAAACCCCAACTATGGCTCAATTGACTCCTACTTGTGAAGCACAATTAGATAGAGGACTTACCATAAAGGTCGCCCTTGCGGTCACAATTAACCTCAAACTCCTCTTGGCTTCGGAACCTGAACCGGTCTTCCTGAAAAGGAACCGGACTGTCCTCAAGAACCGAGAGGACAGATGTGACAGCATTTACCCTTTTCACCACCTATCTTTACTTTCACTGCTTTACTGGTAGTTAATAATGAATCACGGGTTGCATCCCGTTACAGGTCACCTGTTGACCGTTGCGAATCTTTCCCTTATTTGTACAACTTTGGCATTTTGTTAGAAAGTAATCAATCACGTATTCTCTTATTCTCTCTTTCATCTTTCTCTCTCTCTCTTGCGTACGCCATTACTGACGTGCAGCTCTGAATCACTGTACTTGAAGGTGACAATTCTTAAACCTTAGCTCACCTTTTAGTCTTTGATTTCTATTTCTCTTTAAATCTACGGAAGGTTTACAGAGGAATATATCTTTTACATTTTCACTGTCACATTTGGTATCAGAGCCTTTTCGGACCTCAAGGACCTTACCATGGTGGAAACAAGACATCAGGAGAAAACGATGCTCGAGTTGATCGAAGAAATCCGTACCGGTCAAGAGAATCAAACGAACGAGTTTCGCAGACGAGCAGACTCACTCGACGACCGCTACGACAAACTCGAACGACTCGTCTTCGAGCACGTTACTCAGACCCAGGCACAAGGGAAACAAGCGGTTACCGACGGAAACAGATCTCCGATGATGGATCCAACCTCCGCCGAGTCAAACCGCCCACCTGACCCTCCGGATCTGCGTCGATTTCACCAAAACCACCACTTCCCCAACCCCTCCGCTCAAAACCAACCAAACCCGAACCCACCAAACCACTACCCACCAAACCCAAGCCCACTAAACCAATACCCACCAAACCAAAGCCCACACCACCCCTACCCAACAACCCATTACCCACCTCGCGACCGTTCCCCTTTCCCACCAAACAGCCTATCCAACAAACTTTTACATTTTCACTGTCACAACAGAGTTCCAAGTTAACGAGATCGTGACACTATGATCAGCAACACTGAACTGAAGTTTGCTCCTGGACCCGTAAAACTTGTTCAGTCTATAGACAGAACCAGCTTTTAAGTGACGCATATACATCTCAACCCGTCCTGCTGGGATAAAGCCTTGAATAACAGTTTCCTGACAACCAAATTAAAAAGATGATTAAAAGTGGTTTGTGTCTGCTTATATTTCGACATAGGAGTATGATAAATATAAATTATGTCACCAATCACTCTGTAAACTATGATGAATGAGAAGTACATCATGTCGAGATGGATTGCAATATGATTCATATATTTCATAGCTCTCTTATCAATACGTAAATGTTACTATATCAACCGAGCAATAGAGCAATAAAAAGTAATGAAGAGAATAATAGAAGACGGACCTGCTCGTCAATGAGGAGCATCTCCACACCAATGAGTGTCTTCGTGTGTGGGTTTCGAGCCTCCCAAAAATGTATCAGACGAAACCATAACTCATCTTCATGTGGGCCCATTGTGACATCTCTGAAGAACATCACATTGTCACTGTGCGCAGAGGAAGATCGCGGTCTCGGAATGGCAGAGGGAACAACGGTTTTGCCGTCTGGTGTGATCTCGGAAGTTAGGACTGACTTCCCATTAGGTTTCTTCGAAATCACGGAGGAGGAAAGGATCTTCCGGTTCTGCGTCGGATCGCTGGATACTGGAGATTTTCCGGTGGATTCCATAGGTGTAGATTCTTGAGAGGATATTATCGTTTTCGATCGAAGCAAAATATGAGAAAAGATTTATATAGAGAGATTGATAGAGGGGAAGACGAAAGGGAACCATTGATGAGCTTTGATTACACTAAGGTTTGATTAGAGGAGATAGTGGAAAGGTGGTTTCAATGATCTACGAAACGGATATGGAGAGAAGAGGAATGGAAGATGAGAAAATCGAAAGTGGAGACTTGATTTCGAAATCGAGATTAACGTATGGCGAGAAAAAATGGGTCTTATGTTGGACAGGCCAAAAAAATAAACAGGCCAAATTAAAAAACGAAGCCCACAACACAATAGCATGTATCTGACATGGAGAATTTCTAGAACATGATTGGCTGATTTTTAAGGGTGACGTGGACATGCTTATAGTGCTTGTTATTCGCCTTTTAGTATAGTTATAGATATATCTTAAATTTATTTTCATTGTACATGGGCATCATTCATAATTTTCCAATGAGTAATTTAACAAAACTTCATATATCACGTAAATCAAAGAAATAAACCCTATGAAATATCTATATTCTAGAGAAATTGGACAACAAAGGTGTCAGACATTATTTGATCTTCATCTATGCATTAAAACAAAAGTACTGTATTTTAGAATTTATTTTAAAATATGTGGGTTAACCCCTACAAAAAGATCGAGTTTTTCGATAAATGCTAATACTAAAGTTTAAGCACTTTCATGTTGATTAAAAATATCTAATCACAGTATAAATGTTCATTAATTTATGTTAAAATTATTTTCGTTACATGGACATCGTTTCTAATATTTTATTGAGTAATTTAATAAAACTTCATATTTTACCTAATTATGTGGACTAACCCCTATAAAATCTGTAATTTCTATAGAAACATGGACAAATAAGGTTTCATACCTCTTTAATATTCATCACATGTCAGTGCATGATGAAGTGATGCATTAAAACAAAACACCATATTTTCTAATTTATCTTACAAAAATATCTAGGTTTTTCCAATAAATACTATATATACTAAAGTTTAGCCTCAATAATGTTGTTAATACCTGATCACACTCTAAATTTATATTCATGTATGCTAAAAATATTTAGATCGTACATTGGAATCATTTCTAATAATTAACATGCATTTTTCCTTTTAAATTCAGATACGTTCTAATTAGTGGAGTAACCTCTATAAAATTTCTATTTTCTTGAGAAACGAGAACACCTAAGATCTTAAACCTCCTTAATCTTCATACTACATCAGTGCATGATGCAGCTATGCATTAAAACAAAAATTCCATATTTTCTAATTTATCTTAGAATATGTAGGTTAACCCCTACGAAAAGATTGAAGTTTTTGATAAATGCTATCTATAATATTTTGTCTCTTTAGTATTGTTTAAAAATACCTAATGACACTCTAAATTTGTATATATGTATGCTAAAATTATTTACATGGTATATGGACATTATTTATAATTTTCAATGAGTAATTTATTTAAACTTCATATACCACCTAACCTAATAAATGGACTAACTCAAAAAATCTTTTCAAGAGAAACGGAAACACCTAACGTCTCAAACTTTTTTAATCTCCATACTATTTTACTGCATAATGGAACTATACATTAAAGCAAAATACCATATTTTCTAATTTATCTTGAAATATGTGGGTTAACCTCTACAAAAGATCGAGTTTTCCGACAAATGTTATATATACTAAAGTTTAGTCTTTTTAATTTTGTTTAAAAATGCCACATTCAGAATTCTAGATTAATGTACTAAACTTATGATCATGTTACATGGACATCAGATCTAATTTACCAAAGAATTTAATAAAACTCCATATACCACCAAAATCAATGAACTAAACCCTATGAAATCTCAAATTTTTAGAAAAAATTTGGAAAACTAAGGTAACAGAACTCTTTAATATTCATCATATATCAAGGCTGGATGCTGCTATGCACATATTTTCTAATTTATCTTAAAATATGTGGGTTAACCTCTATGAAAGATCGAGGTTTTTATAATAAATAGAATTTATACTTAATTTTAGCCTCTTTAATGCTTTTTAAAATATCTAACCACATAAAAATTTATACTAATGTATCCTAAATTTATTTTCATGGTACATAGGAATTTTTATAATTTTCTGACATATAATTTAATAAAACTTCATATACCACGTAAATCAAAGAACTAAACCCTATGAAATCTCTATATTCTAGAGAAATTAAGATAACAAAGGTGTCAGAATTCCTTGATCTTCATCATATATTTGTGCTGGATGCATCTATGCATTAAAAGAAAAGTACTGTATTTTTAATTTATCTTGTAAGTTGTGGGTTAACTCTTATAAAAAATCGAGTTTTTCTATAAATGCTATATACTGAAGTTTAAGCACTTTCAAGTTGACTAAAAAATACATTACCACATTATACATTTTCATTAATGTATGTTAAACTTATTTGCATGGTACATGGATATCATTTCTAATATTTTAAAGAGTAATTTAATAAAACTTCATATTTCACCTAATTTAATAGACTAACCCCTATAAAATCTGTAATTTCTATAGAAATAGGGACAAATAAGGTCTCGGACCTCTTTAAGTTTTATCACATGTCAATGCATGATGAAGTTATGCATTAAATAAAATATTATATTTTTTAATTGATTTTACGAAAAGATCAATTCATTTCTAATAAATACCATATATACTAAAGTTTAGCCTCATTAATATTTTTTTAAAAATACCTAAGAATTAACATGTTTTTCCAATAATGCTGTTTTTACTTCAGTTTGGCATCTTTAGTGTTGTTTAAGATATCTAAATTATATTTTTTTTAAAGAACTAACAGCTTCGGAAGAAGCATGTTTTGAATAGCATTCCATAAAAATTATAATGATTCATTTTCAAATGCTACAATTACTAACAATTACAATAGTTCATCCTTACATTACAATGGTTTATCATCAAAAATTTAAATGGTTGATAACCAAAAGTTACAAGGTTTCATTTTAATCAGTTGCAGCTATTCATCCAGAAAATTGCAATAGTTCATCTAAATGATTACATTTACTTAAATTTCCAACAATCATTCTCCATTTAAGTGCAATTAGTTATTTACTAAAGAAATCATACATATATAAAAATCATGCATAAATTAAAAAGGGCACATATATAAAAAAAACTCATGGTTTACATTTTGTTGGTGCTTATCTACTAATAAATAATATTATCAAAATATTTCAAATATTTGATTTGAAACCGAATAAACGAAATCAAATCAATATTAAAAATATATAGAAGTTTTTAAAAATAATAATATTAAATTCATAAAGTTAATATAATATTATACATAATTAAACTACTCAACATACCGCATCACCTCAATATTTTAAGTAATTCTTAAGATTTTTCAAAATCCATACAAATTAAATGTGTAAAATAACTAAAAGAAAATGCATTAAAAATACTCACAACTTTTAGAATGAAAAGACACACTTTAGACACTTTGACAACCTCTTCAAAATTTATATAGTTTTTATAATGAAAAACACTATTTATATACTTTTACAATTTCTTATAAACCATTGCATATTTAGGATGAAAAGACATATCATTAGGAAAGTATATATTTAAATACTTTGATAGTTTCTTTTAAACTAATTCAATTCATAGGGATACAAAGACACATATTTTGACATGTTTTGGATTCCCCAAGAATTATGAATTTTCTCTGTATTAATATTGATTAATATTACTTAACTACATGTGTTCTTAAAAATATAAGGAACACTTAACCATATAATTAGTTATTAATTAATCATTATAATTCTTTCATAAGCCATAACTGTTTAACAAATAATTAGGAAATTAATGATCATTCTTTTATTTGTCACCTTTGAACAATTTAAATGGTATCTTTTCATAAAGAAAATACATTTAGTAATTTTAAGAGAATTAACTGTGACTTTTTACCAACAAAACTATAATGGGAAAATTCTTTAGAAATACCCTAACTTAATTCTGTTAAGCTTTTTAATATCCAAACTTTTCGTTATCCAGTTTAGTGCCCCAATTAATTATTTTTTTAGTTTTAATATACAAATTTTTAAAACTATGCATATATTAATACCCAAAATTTATTTATTTTTAATTAGAAATACTAAATAGTTTCAAAAATAATTAAAAATCTCTAAAATTTGCACACAAATCCCAGAAAATTCTCATTTTTTTTTGAGAAATAAAAGTAAATAAACTTTGTATAATCTTAAGTTTTGCAATAAAAAATTTAAGTGTTAAATATTGAATTTAGTTTAGTTTCTGAAATAGAAAACAAATTTATTTATTTTTCCTTAAAAACTAACATTTTAAATTTACAATTTTCTCCCTAATTTAGTTACCTTATTTTTCAAATATGAAAATAAAATGCTAAATTGTAATAATATTTCTTAGATTTTAGAGATTTTTTTTTCAAATTTCA